CGGTGGATGTTGTGTGAACCGGGTGGCTCTTCCCGATGTGGATGGCGTGACAACCTTCTTAAGGGTTTGAGTCCGTTTTTTTAATGTTTTTGTGTAAATAGTAGTAATGAATAAAAGTGTCTCAGGCAAGCTTCATTTGGGCCTAACACATTTACCTTTGACCTCATGGGTTGAAACAAGTTGATTGGCAAAGAATAGTTCTAGTTGTGACCTTTAGACTCTTGTGTTGACTAAACATCATCGAGTGACTTCCTGGAGCCATTTGTCTTGCTCAACCTTAGCTAGGGTTATTGTGGGCCCTCGACTCTGTTCTCTTTAGCAATCCAACAGCTTGTGAGGTAAGGTATTGATTTGCAAGTCCAAGTCTCGTGCCAATAAGTCTAGAACTTGCCCTGAATGTTTATATAGGCGAAATTCTAACTGTAGCTCGACTTGAGAAATGATTATAGACTCTCCTTGATCCAACTTGAAACTTGAAAGCATCCATAGCCCACCAAATATGATATCCCTAGTCAACCCCATTGAGCCAAAACCCTTGTTCTTTCTGTAACCATGATACAAGCCTTTATCCGTTCTATAATGACCTTCTCTTGGCACCCGATCTTTCCTTAGCATTCACAATTGGCAAAAGCATAAGTTTGGGGGGAGAGACGAGGAATGTGAAAATGATAAAAGGTAAAAAATGAATAAAAGGGAAGGCAAAAAGAAAAGAAAGAAAAGCCAAAAAAAAGTCAAAAAGAAAGTGAATAAGATAGAAAAATGAAGGGATTCAATGAAAGCAATGATGAAAGGCTTGGAATGTTTAGAAAAGGAGAAAAATGATTGTCATGAACGAGAAAGAGTAACAGTGTGTCTCTCTAGTTCCCCTAAGGAAGAAGAAATTACTCAAAGAGTCAAGAAAGTGTGAGCCGAAATGAGAAAATAAAGTGCTTAAGGAAAGATGAAACCTTCATAGACCGATATATCCTACCTTGATCCAAAAGCCTTCATTGAATTCCCGCAAAAGCCCTATAGGATTTCGAGTTGAGTGAGCTTGCATTAGTGGTGATTCACATAAGGTGCAAGCGTATGGTACTTAAAGCCGGACTTGTGACATTCCCTTATGAGAGATGAGTGTACTTCTTCACAATCCTTGTTTTGAGTGCTTCAATTGTTAAGTGAGATTTGCTTATGGAGAGTATAGGAGAAAGAGTTTGGGGTCCACAACGACCTACGTAGTAGAGCGAGCTTCCTTGGTGAGCTAAGTCAACTCTTGATGCTCTTGTGTCGCACTAGAACTATGGTACTCAAAAGGTTGTGTGTTGTTGATAAAGCATTTGTGTTGAGGGTAATTGTTAGTCCCAATTGATGCTTGATGAAGTCACCTTAGGACAGCTTAAACTTCCTTTCATTTTCTTGTAGGGGTGGGAATTACTTTGTTTGCTTGAGGACAAGCAAAAGCTTAAGTTTGGGGGAGTTAATAACTATGGATTTTAACCTATTTTGTGCTCTCTTTTGCTTAGGTTTTGGGTCGAAAATGAGTAAAGGTATTCCTGAAAAATGACTTAATGTGCTTGCTTGTAGGGTTTGGTCAAAATGAGGCAAAGATGCCATAATCAACTCATGAAGGAGTCAAACTTGCACAAATCCAAGGTTGGACTGGAGCGCTGACAGCAGCAGAAAAGAGCGGCCGCGTAAGGACCATCGCTGAGGTGGCCACAAATACGCGGCCCACAAAAATGAGATTCAGAGAAGCTGTTTTGGGTTCAACATTGACCGCTGACCGCGATGGAAAAGCGCGGCTGCGGAATATCTGGCGCGACCGTGATGGTATTTTCGCTAAGAGCGTACTTCGAGGTTCAGAGGCCCTGCAAGTTACGTTTGATTGAAAAACACGATCCACGTCCAAATTACACGATCGCAAATTAAATTCACACGGACACGGTGGATTTTATGCTGTATGCGAAACAGGTCCCAGCTAGATTCAAATATGGAGAAACACGGACCGCGGTTATTATTAAGCAGCCGCGATAGCTCAAGCATGGACGCGGTCAGAAATTACGCGTCCGCGAAACCTCCGAATGGGCATTTTTGTCCGAAAATTTTAGCCTAGTATAAATAGATCTTTTTCACATTTTAGGGTATGTAATGTTTTGCTAAGCACGTGAACAATTGGTTTTTACCTCTTTGAGTAATCTTAAAGTAGATTTATCTTCAATCTTTAGATTTTCATCTTGTATTTTAATATTATGGCTTATATTTCATCTTCATTTTTGATTTCTACTATTATTATGAGTAGCTAAACCCCATAGCTAGGGTTGTGACCCAACCCTTGGGTCTTGAATTTTAGAGCTTAATTATTTATGGGTTAGTGATATTTAGCTTAATTCATGCTTTAATTGTAGAATTGGTGGTTGCAAAAACTGATTTGTGCCTTGATGACTTAGACTCTTTTTGAGAAAGAGGGACTAAGTCTAGGAAAATTAGGCTAATAAGGAATTGGGGTGAATTCAAGAGATTGATAGCCCCAATTAAAGGGTTAAACCTAGAGATAGTAATACCCGACTTGAGCCAATATCATTTGTTATGCATGAACACCCATTTGGTCTTGAGAATGCCAAATTGGGTAAAGTCACTCAAACTACCGAAAGGTATAGAGTGAGCACTTATGTGTGATGGTTATATCACGACCCCAATCATAACAAGCTTGCCCTGAATTCTCGATACCCGCTAGATATCCACCTAGGCGGAAGTCACTGCTCTAGTCCATTTTAATCCTTGAAAACAACCAACAAAAATAGTGTACTTAGCTTATTTTAGCATATTATAGGATAGCATTAGAAGTATAATCAATGATGACCATGTTTGGAGGTGCAATTTGGAACAACACGCACATCTAGATTAGTTAGATACCTAACTCCAAATCAATTAACTTCCTGTGGAAATCGATCCCGACCATTATTGGGTAAAACTGCATCGACCATCCCTGCCACTCAATAGTGGTACAGGCTTGGAACCGATCACCTATCATGTCACGACCCTTATTTCTTTCATTGATATTTCAGTGTTGCTCAACTCTTTCTTCAAGTGATCAATTGTTGATTCTTTTGGTTTCATAGTTAATAATCATCCCGACCTACGTGTTAATCATCTCGAATAACGTTAAGCTAAGAATTACTTGAACATTGTTTAAATCCAATCCATGTGGAAACGATGATCATAACTATACTATCTTTGGATAGCGAGCATAATTTCGTGTTGTGTTTTGCACTCGTGACGTTTTTGGCGATTGGCAATCAATAGTGTTCAAAATAGTTTTTGGTGCTAATTCAGGAATTAAGTTTATTTATTCTTCATAGTTTTTCTCTTTAGTGTGCAGAGAAAAAGTTAGGTTCATTGTTGTATGACTCGATCTTCTTCAAAAGAAGTAATATCCTACAAGTCGTAGTTGGAAAAACACCCGCGACAACTGCAAAAAGAGAAAGAACTCGCTGGGAAATTCTTGGGGAAATCCTCAACCCAAGAGAACTTGGCTAAAAACGGTGAGGAGGTAGTTAATTTGGCTGCACGGAAAGTATCCCATTAGGAAGCAGCTGTACGGGAAGCTGTTGAAGTAGCTCTTAGAGCTGATGAAACGGGTGATGGGAACAGAGGACGACGATTCAACCTGAATCGACCTCTGGTTGAAGATGAATTTGAAAATAATATGCCCAGTCCTGGACGATCACTAGGAGACTATGCCGGGCCAGTCTACAACCAAGAAGTATCTAGTGTGCGACCTCCTCCAATCGTAATCATTAATTTTAAGATCAAGCAAGGGCTACTTCAGGCCATTCAGAACAATTGTGTCTTCTGAGGTAAACCCAATGAAGATCCAAATACTCATTTGATGGATTTCGATGAAATTATGAATACATTCCAGCACAGCGAGGTACCGAACGATGCTATCTACTTAAGGACATTTACTTTTTCACCGAGGGAAGATGCTAAGCACTGGTTGCGGAGTTTGCCGACAGGGTCAATTCAAACTTAGGAAGACATGACAAAGAAGTTCCTTGAATAATATTTTTCAGCTGCAAAAACAGGGAAAATTTGAAGAGAGATCCACAACTTCGAGCAGAAAGATGCAGAAACGGTGTTTGAAGCATGGAAAAGATTTAAGGTATTGTGAGAAGATGCCAGCATCATGGAGTAGACTTGTGGATGCAACTCCAAGAAATATGGGATGAGCTGACACCCTATGGAAGGATGCTGCTAAACGACGCAGTTGGAGGTCCTCATATGAAGAAAACTTCTAAGGAGATTGTTGCAATTCTAAATGAATTATCTGAAGATACAAATCAATGGCCAGTAGATGATAATGAGGGAAGGGAAAAGGTTGGGGTATACTAAGTGGATACTAACGTATCAGTGCAAGCCCAACTAGGTACCATGGCTAGAGAGATACGAAATTTAACCTTAGCCAAGGTCTAGAGCCAGTCGTCCTCGGTTTGTGATTTTTTTGGAATGGGCCATCCAACACATGAGTGTCAGGTCTCGACTATAGATGAAGTAGTAAATGCTGTGGGGAGCTTTGACAAAGGCAACTACCAAAGTGGCAATAATTTTAACTCCATGGGGCAAAGGCACCCAGGTTTCTCTTGGAGTTCACCAGGTGGCAATGCGAATGCATAGCAACAAAATAACTCCAGACCCAGGGACAGGGAGCTCCAAGTTTTCAAAATCAGCAGAGGCAGCAATATCAGCCTATACAGTCTAATCAGTCTAGCATGGAAGATCTGATAAAGGTCTTTATTATTAAGATAGATGAGACTTGAAACCCATGGCTCAGCTATACGAGAACATGACACAACTATCCGAGAACAGGGAATGACCATTCGAAACTTGAAAAGACATGTGGGAAAACTTGATAATCTATTGTCTGAGAGGGTTCTAGGAACTCTCCTACTGATAGTGAAAGAAATCCAAAAGAGAGAATAAATGCAGCGTCTTTGAGGAGTGGGCATGTAATGAAAGACCCTATGGCAAAACAAAGGGATGAGTTAATTGAAGGACAGGTAGAAACTATGGAGGAGCAGAAAAATAACAACAATCAAGAAGGTGAGGTGATGGTAGATGATGGTCTAAAGAAGAAGGGGAAGACTAGAGCTCAGAAGAAAAAGAAAGAGGGGAATGCAATGAATGAGGAGATTGAAGAGAGTAAATATATGCTTGTGTTACCTTTCCCTCAAAAGCAAAGAAAGGAGAAGTTGGACAAACAATTTGGGCGTTTCCTAGATGTGCTCAATCAGGTGCATGTTAATCTACCATTCACAGTGGTGCTCTCTCAGATGCCAGCTTATGCTAAATTCTTGAAGGAGATATTGTCCAACAAGCGAAAGTGGAAGAGACATCGGTTGTCAAGCTAACATAGCACTGTAGTGCCATTCTGCAAAATAAGCTCCCTCAAAAGTGTGGAGATCCAAAGAGTTTTACTATACCTTGCTCTTTAGGAAGTGCTAAGTTTGAAAATCTTTGTGTGATTCGGATGCTTATATTAATCTTATGCCTTTGTCTTTTTTCAGGAAATTGGAGGGAGAGATTGGAGAAATCAGATCGATACCTATGTCTTTGCAGCAGGTGGATCAGACCACAATCATATATGAAGGAATAGTGGAAGATGTGCTAGTTCGGATGAATAAATTTGTATTCCCTATGGACTTCATTGTGGTGAACATGGAAGAGAATAGGAAGGTCCCCCTGATTTTAGGGAGACCCTTCTTGGCTACTGGAAGAGCTATTCTTGATATTCAGGAAAGGTAGCTCATGCTCAGAGTGGGGGAAGAAAGGGTGGATTTCAAGATGGAAGGAGCAATGGCCCCTAAAAGAACGAGATGGAGAGAGTAAGCATGATAAGTGTGGGGTGTACCCAAAGAAGACAGAAAAGATGCTCCCAGCATGGATGTGTGCACTGGGTCGGGCGTGCAAAGGAGATCCCGACTTCAGTTCAGACCCCGACTAGATGAATCAATGGAGTTTTCCTTACCTCTTGCTTTTTATTTGTGTGTCACGGGGACATGCCACAATTTAAAGTATGGGGTGGGGATGTAAATATGTACATGTGTGTTTGTTTTCTTGTGTTTTGGTTTGAAAAATATATTGACTTTTTCCGACGATGGATTTCTTCTTGAGGGATCCAAGTCGAAGAAAAAAAAATATTTTGTTTTTCATAGGTAGTGTAATAATTTCTCCTTGGTTTTTCTTTGTGTTGCGATTCATTTCCAAAGGTTTTGCTTGAACCAGGTGTAGTTAGTATTTCTTTTGTTAGAAAATTTGAAGTATTGTGCAATAGTACTAAATGGAGATGACTTTTCTTGACTTTGTTGTGCTTGAGAGTAGTGAGTGCCTTAGTTGCGACGCCTGGGCTCAGTTCTTGACTCATGTATAAGTGTCTTAGAATGTTTGATTTTGATGTTTCTTAACTGCTTTGACTATAGAGTCGGGATAGATCCGGTCCTAAGTGAGTTTTGTGCTAACATGTGTGTGAGATTTTTGTTGATATTCTGTGTATGTCAGATGATATCTAGAACTTGCCGCGTGTATTTGCAAAGCGAAATAGCAGTCTCGTTCAGTCTAGGAAGTGATATAGGCATTTTTTTAGCTAGATATATGTTTATCACCCACCTAATTGTATGTGTCTTAATTAGTCCTGTTGAGACTGTAACCCTACTTCTTTGGCAATCACACTACAAGTTTGACCCTTTATCTGATATGACCATCTATTTGAACCTTTTACCTGTCGTGAGCAATTGAAACTACTATGAGCTTGTTACGAGCTGAGTTGAGGAATGATAGGCTTTTGAGTGGAGCTAAGAATAATGGAGAAATGTGCACTAGTTGAAAATTTGTGAGAGCCACATGTATGGGATTGAAAAAAATAAAAAGAAAAATTATTCAGAATTTTGAAAAAAAAAGAGTTTATGTATGTAGAAGAAAGAAAAAAAGTTGATTTCTTGCTAGTGGTAGTTCACATCTTGTCTGTGCTTAATGAAATTGGGAGCTCGAGGTTATTATGTATTGAATGTTGGGTTTGGTTCCACACAAGTGTGGGATTTTAAAATATGAAACTGTATGTATTAAAGTGCTCAGGGAGGTGTAGTCACTATATCCAAATATATCATACTTGTCCCGCAGCGTATATTACAACCAATTAAATTCATACTTGATCTTTGACTGAATGAGCTCAAATTAGTAGAGTACTACACTACGGGCAAGCCTTTGGTACGTTTTCTATGGCGCATGAATATTATTTCTAAGAGTAAGTTAATTCTTTCTATCTTAAGTTCCTATTTGTTCTTGAATTTTATGGTGTATGGAACAACTCTATATCTTTGGTGTGAGGGCACATGATTTGCGAAGGAAAAGGTAATGTCTTTGGCCTCTGTGTTAGAGTAAGTGAGCAGGTTTTTGGAAAACACGTGGTGCTTTTGAGTCGAGTCTTGAGGCTAGGATGTTATGCTAGGGTGCTAAGTCTACTTTAAATATTTTTGGCGTGGTGCATTAGGAAAGTTGTCTGATAAGAAGGTCGTCTCTATGTGAAGTGAAGTTTGATTGCTAGAGGACGAGCAACGATTTAAGTGTGGGGCGTTGATGGTAGGCGAGAAACCCGTATTTTAGTCATAGTTTGCACTCTAATTACTGTATTTTACCTGTGTTTGAGCTTAAATAATAGTGAATTGCGCTCATTATGTATTTTATGCCTTGAAAGAAGTGATTCTAAGTTAAAAAGATAATCGGGAGCAAAATCGAAAAAGTTGGAGCTTTGAAGTCTGAGTAAAAGCCCAAGAAATTAATCTGGGATCATGTTCGGGTATCGGGAGCCAAGTCTAGATATCAAAAATTGACGAAAATAAAATACTCTGTAAAATATACACAGCCACGCTGCGTGGGGCGGCGGATGGGGCGGCATGGCAGTGTAAATCTGCTAATGTCCGTCAGATATCGCTCTCTGAACTTTCCCATTAGCACACCGCGTAGGGGTGGCGCATGGCGCAACACGCCTGTACAATTTTCTCAGAGTATTTTTTTGTTTCAGCTTGGAAAGGGTAGTTTTGTCCAGGCCCACTCCTATATGGTATAAATACACTAAAAGACGTTTTTGAAGGGACTTTTGACCTTCGAAGCTTTTGGAGAGAATTGGAGGCTACAAGACACAAGATTTCATCATCTTTCCATCAATTCAATACGGGAGTTTGGATTGTAACGTTAGATTGATGTTTTCTTATTCTTTAATTATATTTGTGATGACTTACTCTATGATTATGAAGTAGTTTCCCTTAGGCTTTGACAGATATGGTGTTTTGATTGATATTTGTGGATTTTGACTCTAGTTTTTTGCATGAATTCGTTTTTGGAGTTTTGAATTGTTTGCAACTTTATTCACCAATTTATTTAATTGAAAGAGGAATATTGTGATAACTATCATGCATTTAATTAAGTGATTCTCTTAAGTAATCCAAAGAGCTTGTTGAATTATTGATTAAATCAAGTTAGAAGAATATCAATTTTTCGTTAATTTTTGAATTGTTCACTCTAATGTTCTAATGGTTCTCACGAATTCACTCGATGATTAGTTCAAATAGTCAAGACTCCTCTCTCAATTAAATCTTAACTCTACGAGGTGAACTCACATAAGCACTATATTACGACCCTTATTTCTCTCATTGATATTTCAGTGTTGCTCAACTCTCGTCTTCCAGTGATCAATTGTTAATTATTTTAGTTTCATAGTTAATTTTAGTTATTAATCATCCCAACCTATGTGTTAATCATCCTAAATAGCGTTAAGCAAAGAATTATTTAAACACTATTTAAATCCAATCCATGTGGAGATGATAGTCATAACTATACTATCATTGGCTAGGGAGCATAATTTCGTATTGTGTTTTGCGCTCGTCACTCACATAGGCTGACACTGCTAGCAGTTTTCTTGGCTTATTACCCCGGAATATAACACTGACCTCCATTTTTTTGGCTCTTCCAACCAGAGGCAGAGCGAGAATTTGAAGTTTATGGGCTCAAGATTCTAGTTCTTTTAAGTTATTGAGTTCTAACTTAATAATTTGTGCATATTCAATGAATTTTTTAAGACAAATATAAGGTTTGTACCAAAGCTACTGGGTTCAACCGAACCCGTAGCCGAAGGACTGGTTCCGTCTCTGCTTCCAACTTAATCAGTTAGGAAAGTATAAACTCTTAAAACTTTAATCTTATGTGCCATGAAAATATTTGATCTCGAATAAATGAACTCAATCTGGAAAACAAAAATGGTACAGTTCAAATTAAGGCTTCCAAATATAGATAACTCCAGTCTCCAAACACGTTTCTTATTAAGAGATTCCAACAGTATATATGTATGTATCGGAACTGTAGCTGATTTAATACGCTGAAATTGATTAGTTTTTCATTTCCGTCTTTCACATGATTATTTTCTTTCAAAGGAGAAAAGTGAGAGGTGGACAATTATTTTTAAAATGTTTTGGGTTATACTTGTAAGTGATATATATCTCCTTGGTTTTTTTTTATCTTATGGTACTTCCTCCTCATTTAGTGCTGAAACTTATCAGACTGTTTGACGCTAGTTTGTTAATAACACTAGTATTAAATTATACACTCTTTTACAAAGTTCATATCTATTTAACTTATCAATTTAAAACTTGTATTTTCTCCGTTACACTAACTATTTAACTACAGTTATAATAGTTTCTTAAATTACTACTACTATATGACAAACACGTCAAGCTGTACTAAATTTCATTTCCATTTCCATTTCAAACGGTATAGAATATGACTAAAATGAAATCAATATGAATATTAGGGCTTCTTGTCCTTGGATTCTATGTTGGCCTGCATTTTGGGCTGCAGTTCTCCATCAAATGAATTGATTTCCAGCCCGAGTAACTACTAGTTGACAACAATTTTGCCGCGACATGAGAAAGGACGATTTAATCCTTGATATTCTCTAAGAACTATTGTCTTCTTTCGTTCTAAATTAAGAACGTAACTTCCCACCCAATATCTTATTTACCCTCGGTATTTACACTTTGAGGGACTATTTACACATCAACACCTTCTGTAGAGTTGACTACCTTTTTATAGTATTAACTACATAACTAATTAACCGACTATACAAATAATACAGCTTAATATTACACGTATTCTATGGCCACAACTTGCACTAGCACACCACTCTTCTACACTCCCCCTCAAGCTAATGGCTTGAACAAGTTCTTCGACCCAAGGTTCTCCGGTAGGTAATCATATTGCACCTTACCCATGCTTTTAGTTAACAGATCAGCTAGCTGTTCTTTGGTTGGTACATGCTCAGTTCTCATCACTCCTTGTAGGATTTTTTTCCCTCACAAAATGACTATCTATGTCTATGCATTTAGTCCTCTCGTGAAAGATTGGGTTGGCAGCAATCTGAAAAGCTGCCTTGCTATCAAGTAAGAGATCAACAGGTAGTTCTATCTTCACACCAAGCTCTTCAAACAACCCTATCAACCAGGTCACTTCAGCTGCACAGGTCGCCATGCTTCTGAATTCAGTTTCAACTAAACTCCTAGAGACAGCCTCCTGTTTCTTAGAATTCCATGACACCAGGGTATTCCTAAACATAACTAAGTAGCCAGTGACTGATCTTCTTGTTTGTAGGCAAGCTCCCCAATCTGAGTCACAATAGGCTGTTAGTTTATTTGTGTTGTCAGCAGGCATAAGAAGGCCAGGTCCAGGTTCAGCTTTGATGTACCTTGATCGAGTCCAAG